TTGCCCTTAATCGATCCCTACCAGGCCAAAGAGACCAGTTTTACTGGTAGGATAAAGACTTATGAAATCCCCAAGTCTATGACCCTTAACTATCCTTCAGTTTGGAACTGAACCTGCCCTCTTGTACACTAATCATCCATTTCAAATTAAAGGGCAGCATGTATCCAAGGACAAATTTCAGAGAGTATGGGAAGAAGGAGGAATAGAAACAGGAAGCGCAGGGAAAAAGGGGGATACATGATGGTCCACTGAGGGGATTGCAAAATTTGTAGGAATCATGGAATGTAAAACCGATGGTCTGCTGTAAATCCCCACTTTACCAGCACCTTCAGTGCAGCTGGGACTTATGCCTTTAACACCACCAGTGCATTTGCCATCAGGCTCCATTTACCACCTCCTGGAACACTGGTCAAAATGTTCAGTTTTTCAAATTATTATTCATTGGGATTTAATACATATATTATTCCATAGTCCAATCACGCCAAGCAGAATTGTGCTATTGCTTCCATAATCAGTCTCCAAACATACTTTTCCTTCCGGAACTCCTTAGTATCATTTCCATTTTATCTCCTCCACTCACCCTGTACTCCCCCTACTTCCCAAACCCTAGTTCTATTTACTGTCCCTATAGGGTCATTAATGCCAGGAAAACAACACAACCCCAAGAGGGTGACCCCTAATGGCATATCATCTCTGAGATACACCCTAATATGAACAATTATAAATGAAATAAAACAGAGTGTTCATCACAGGATTGCCGGAATAATATACATCTTAATACATAGGGCGATGATGTGGCAGGGCCTTGTTTGTCCACCAACCAAGAGAACACCACGCTAGGGACAGCTGTCTTCTGCTTCCTCAGACACCGTGTATTTTCTGACTTAAATCCTCAGCTTCCAAGTGTGTCTGAGGTTGAGTTCAGTTCACCCAGTGGAGGTCCCACGTGGTGTCTCACTGATGTAGTTACTCTGTGTATTCATTCCTTTTATCTTCTTTTGACGCTTCCTTTATCATTCAACATTTTGCCCAGAAATTCCATCAATATTGTCATTGAGACTGTTTTTTTTCTTCCACTTCTCTCTGTAAGACATGTCAAGTATGCTCTTTTCTTTTGGTCGTCTAACTCCAGGTATTTGTAGATTTCATTATGATACATTGTCTTCTCAAGTTGCTTTTGAAATTTTCTGTTCAGTTCTCTTACTTTATTTCTTCTATTCTTTTTAGATACATAATATTAAAAAGCATGTTTTGGAGTATATTCTGATTTTAATTTTGCGATTTTATTACTTTCTTATGTTTTTAATCGTCTTTTTATTTTCTTTTGTTTCTTCTTACCAGCAAAGAGCACGAATGCAGTCCCCCACTATCACAAATTATGCAATCGAGTTTCCCTATTTGGGGAAGTTTAAGGGGTCAGCACGTCCCAAGTGCAGTGGATGAGCCTCGCTCTGGGAAAACCACCTTTGTGCACATGACATTTCCTCTCCCAGGTAAGTATGGCTTTTGCTTTCTTGATGTATGATATCAGTTTTATCATTTCTCAGCCTAACTGTCTTCAGTCATTAGTGTTCAATATGTCCATTCAGGTGGGATATATTCAGGGTCATACTTTGGCTTGTTTTCCAGTTTCTCAAGCTTCAAGTTTAACTTGAAAATGAGCAATTATGATCCGTTTCATAGGAGGCCATTGACATTTTTCTGATGAAGGAAATTGAGTTTCTCCATTGACTCTTTACACAGACACGATTTATTTGATTCCTGCTTATCCCAGCTGAAAAGATCCACACCCAGCTACCATTTGTCATGGAAACAAAGCATTTCCGATGAATATGTCTCAGTATTGCAAAATCCTCTCATGCCATCTATCACATAATTTATATCACCAACATGAATTTCTCTGCTGATTCTCCCTTGTTTCCACCATTTGTATACCAATCACTACTAATTATCAATACATCTTCATTGCTGGTCTGATCAACTTCTGGCTACAGAAGTTGGTAATTTTTTTTCACTCAGCAACAATATTAAATACTTAAGAGTATATTTAACAAAATATATTTAGGACCTATTATGGTAACTGAAAATATAAAAAACTACAAAACATTTCTGAGAATAATTGATTAATATAAGGGATCCTTTGTGAGGCTGTGGGTTGGGCATCCGCTGTCAACTACAAGGCTAGTGGTACAAACTTGTCAGCTACCCTGATGGAAAAAGAGAAATTTTTTGCTCCTCTAAAGACTTAGAGTCTTGGAAATCTAGGGTTGTTGTGAGTCAAGACTGATTAGATGGCAGTATGTTAGTTTTAGATTTTCAGAGATATACCATGTTTATAGGTCACAAAATATCATTAAAATTACTTATCCAAAAATTAATATATAAATTAAACTCAATACCAATCAAAATCTCAGCAGGCTTTTATATTTTTTATTAAAGTTGACAGACTCATTTTAAGTTGCTTATGAAAATAAAAGGGCTATCCTCAGCAAAGTGACCTTGAGAAAGAATAAATTTTGAGGACAAATATGTACAACTGCTTTCAAGACTAATTATAAAACCACAGTAAATAAGACCAATTCAGATTGGTGTAACAATAATCAAATAGATCAATGGAAAAGAATAGAGAATTCATAAATAGGCCCACAGACACATGGGGAATTGATATTTGAAAAAGATGCAAAAGCAATTCATTAAAGGAAGAAAAAATATTTCACAAAGGTGGGGGGGAGAGCTTTGACACATACTTCACACCTTATAAGAAAATAACTCAATAACTTAGATCATAGACTATGTATAAACTATAAAACAACAAAACTTCTAGAATTAAATTCAGAAGAGAATGTTTGTAACTTTGGGTTAGTTTATCATGATTCACAAAATTCACGTTAATACATTGAGCATCATAAAAATTAAAAATATCCCTCTTTGGAAAAAAGGGAATAAAAATGGTATGGTTTTTTTTCTTTTCAAATCATTGATCTGATGAAGGACATGTATTCCGAATATACAAGAAATTCTCAGAACTTAACGATAAGAGCACAAACAACCCAATAAAAAATAAGTAGAAGGTTTAAATGCACATTGATGTAAGCAAACATGTGAAATGGTGTTCAATGTTACAAGGCAATTATTCTACACTCATCTATCAGTTTGTCATACTGTGGTGCCTTGTGTGTTTTGATGGTAGAGGCTAGGCCATCAATAATTGAGTGTTCCTGGGATAACACTTAGGAACATATTTTAATGGCGCTTCTAGACTAAGAAGTGAACCCTGATGGCATAATTGGTAGGAGTTGGGCATCAGTCATCTAGGTCTTCAGTTTGAAACTACTCGGCACATCTTAGGATAAAGACTGAGTTTTCTACTCCTGTGAGAGTTACAATCTTGGAAACCCACAGGGGGAGTTCTACCCTGTCCTATAAGATCACCATGAGTCAAAATGGATTCGATGGCAATGAGTTTGGTTTGGGTCTAGATGAAGAAGAGATAGGAAGAAAGAATAGGTGACCTTTACCTGAGGGATCACTCATTAAAAACCATCAGAAAAGCAGTGAGCCATTCTCTGATATATTGTCAGAGGATGAATCCCCAAGTTAGATAGAACTCAAAATTAGACAATCATTTGGTTTTCTATGCCAGGAGAGACAACTTGAAGAAGATTGGCCTCGTATTGGCATCACAATAAAGAACACGTGTAGCTCTATCATAAAGACAAATCCTGGCGGTGATAATATTTACATGTTTACAAGGAAATCCAGTTAATATAACTGTTATTACGTCAGGCAGTGTAAGATATAATAAAATAATAATAATTTATCAAGGATTCATGAGGGAGGGGGAGCTGGGGGGTGGGGAGGGAAACAAATGAAAAATGAGGAGCTGATTCCAAGAGCCCAAGCAGAAAGCAAATGTTTTGAGAACGATGAGGGCAACGAATGTACAAATGTGCTTTACACAATGGATGGATGGATGGATTGTGATGAGAGTTGTATGAGCCCCCAATAAAATGATTTAAATAAAATAAAATGGTTCTTGTTAAAAAAAAAGTTCACTGACCACTTAAGCCCATGCTGAAGAAACTGATGAATTCTATCAAATTCTTCGGTCTGAAATGTACCAAATATGGAATCAATATGTATTGATAATTACTGGTGACTGGAGTGTAAAAGTTGAAAACAAAGAGAAAGAATCAGTAGTTGGAAAATAAGGCTTTTTGATAGGAATAAAAGTAACTGTTGCATGATAGAATTATGGAAGACCAACCAATGATTTTTCATTGCAAACACATTTTTCCAACAACATAATTGGTAACTGTTCATGTGGACCTCCCTGGATGGCAAACACAGGATCAAATTGACTACTTATGTGGGAAAACTCACTGCTATGAACTAAATTATGGCTCATGATGACCCTATAAGATAGGGTAGAACTGTTCTTGTGGGTTTATGAGACTGTAACTGTTTACAGGAGTAGAAAGCCTCGTTTTTCTCACAAGGAACAGTTGGTTGAAATACCATCTAACTAGTACTATCTAGCTAACTATTTCAACAGTTGGTTGAAATACTAGCAGTTCGAAATACTATCCTTGTGGTTAGCAGCCCAATGTGTAAGAAGCTGGAAAAGTGCAATACCTCCAACCAAAGCAAGGCATGAGGCCAACTGGAGAGCAGATCATTCCTTGTCCACATACAAGCTGAATTTAGAGCCAACGCAAATGAAAAGAAGTACACAAGAACCCAAATATAGCCTTGAGTTCATCTCACCTGGATTTCAAGACCATCTCCAGAATGGATTTGACACATCGAACACTAATGACTGAAAACCAGGTAAGCTGGATGATACCTTCAAAAATGTCATACATGAGTGAATGGAAGTGTCACTATAAAAAGCAGCAGGAAAGAAAAAGTAGACAAATTTATGTGTCAGAAGACACTCCGTGACTCGCTTATGCACATAGAAGTAGCTAAAGCAAATAAAAGAAATAGGAGAGCTGAACAGAAAATCTCAAAAAGTAGTGCCAGAGACTAAAGAAAGCTTTATAATTAAATTTGTAAGGACTTGGCGGTAGTCAATCAAAAGAGAAGAACATTCTCAACAAAAGTCAAACATTCTCAACATAGCTCAAGTTGAAAAAACAAATTCGTTGCCATTGAGTTCATACTGATTCATAGTCAACCCTGTGGGACAGAGGAAAGCCACCACTGTGGGTCCCTGACATTAACTCTTTATGGGAGTAAAAGCCTCGACCTTCGCTGAGGTGCCACTGGTGGCTTTTACCTGGTGGCCTTGAGTCAGAAGCACAACACAGAGCCACTATGCCACCGGGGATCCTTACGTTGAAAGAACTAAAGAAAAAGAATTAGAGCCTTGTATTGTAATATTGAAGGATTCTATGGAAAAAATCCATGCCTTTTTCTGTCAGTTTGCTCTCTTGTGGTGACTTCTCTGTTGCCATGGTGCTGAAGGCTGTAGCCCTGGTATTTCAATACTCGCAGGGCGTTGATTGGATTCAACCATTTCACACTGGTTTGGCAGAACCAATACCTAATAGTCTGTTGAGCTCAGGGATTTGTAGTCAGGATTCTCTGTAAGGTGGGTGGCTTCCCAACCATGTGGAAATCACAAATTTACATTCCTGATACGTTTCGGATGTTCAGATAACAGCTTATGCTAAGTGCCCTTAGTGATGTTCATCTCATCCATTGGCATAAGAAATTAGATGGAACTATGCTTGTACAATGTGTTTATACATTTCATAAACCTCATTATACTTTTAATGATATACTACAAGTGTATTCCCTTGTGTTTGTTATTTCAGTCAACAAACATGAGGTAAAGAGGTCAAGTGCCAAACAGCCAGAGGGTGACACAGTACCATTTGTTTCGGCTTTGTGTTGTATCGAAAATTCCCCTAAGATACTCTGAGTAAATTATGCAATTCCTGAAAGTGTTCAAAGAGCTAAAAATATTGTCAAAATAATTACTGTAAGTTTAGCAGAAACGGAGAGCTGTTTTTCAAAGATGAATGCAGTATGTCAGACAAGAGATGTCACGTGAGTCTAATCTATCAAACTCAGCGACTATTGTCTAATTGGCCTACCTCTAATGGCCATGGGATCCTACTCCTCCAGTGCAAAGACGGGTATTGATAAATCACACAGTCAATGATACTTGGATAAAAGTGAGGAATATTGAAAGTACAGATGCCAATTGAGAAACAATATGGATATATTTTAAGTAACAGTTTTGTTGTTTTGTCACATATTACTAAATTTTTTTTTAATATTTTAAACTCCTTTTAACATGATCCAGTTTCATGTAGCTCTTTTATTATTCCTATTTAAGTATTAACTTTATAAAATAACAGATGATTTCTGGTATATAATTGTTTAATATTTAAAAAGGTCATTATGACAATGAATTGGTTGTTAAAGGATCCCAGTACCTCAGCAGGCTTGCCTAAAGTGACCAGGTTTACACAGAGCTTCCAGGCTAAA